AGGACACGACGTAGCACTGTGCTCCCCTACCTGCCCCGTCTGATAATGTCTGGCAAACTGGCTAACCACTCGGTGGTCATTTGCAAAGTACTCCATCAGAATAGAAGGAACTTCAGCGAAGTCAGTGGGGCACCTGGTCCCTAAAATGGGGGGGAAAAGAAAAAAAAAAGTTGGCATGAATCAAATCAACATATTTATCTTTCTTTTTATGTACTCTTTTAAAACTTTTATGTGTACTTCTGATGAAGGTATGATAAGATTTAATTCATTAAATCAATATTTTACTTCTATAAAATTATTGTACATATTTGCAGAAAAGTTTATTATAATCCCATATATTTTCCTATATATCAAAAGTAAAACAAAATATTTGCACAGCTGGATAAAACACCTTGTAAAGCCATGGCTCACACCCTCTACAAACAAATCTGTCTTCAGCTCTGCTTGGCGATACAGGAGACAAAAATTAAAACATTCTTACAATTAATGTACCATTTGTATTTAATTTGCTGAATTCCACCACCAAATGATTTTATCCTTCACTTATTTGTTTGTTGGCTGGTTCTATTCCCTATGCTGTAATTTTCATCTCCATGATTTATTTATTTTCTAAAATTTTTTTTCATGTTTATTTTTGACAGAGAGACAGAGAGAGAGAGAGAGAGAGAGACAGAGTATGAGCGGGGGAGGGGCAGAGAGAGAGGGAGACACAGAATCCGAAGCAGGCTCCAGGCCCCGAGCTGTCAGCACAGAGCCCGACGCCAGGCTCGAACTCATAGACCGCGAGATCATGACCTGAGCCGAAGTCGGACGCTCAACCGACTGAGCCACCCAGGCGCCCCAATGATTTATTTATTTTCTAACTGGAAGCTAATACCTCTAATCGTTTCTCCTATTTCGCCCATCCCCCCACGCCTTCCCCTCTGGCAACCACCAGTTTGTTCTCTATGTTGAAAAGTCTATTTGTTTTGGGGCGCCTGCGTGGCTCAGTCGGCTGAGCGTCCGACTTCGGCTCAGGTCATGATCTCACGATTCGTGGGTTCAAGCCCCGCATCGGGCTCTGTGCTGACAGCCCGGAGCCTGGAGCCTACTTCGGATTCTGTGTCTCCTTCTCTCTCTGCCCCTCCCCTGTTCACGCTTTGTCTCTGTTTCTCAAAAACAAATAAAGGTAAACAAATTGAAAAAGAAAAGTCTATTTGTTTTTTAGATTCCACATATAAGTGAAATCATCTGGTATCTGTCTTTCTGTGTCTGACTTATTTCACTTAGCACAACACTCTCTAGTTCCAACCATGTCGTTGCAAATGGCGAGTTCTCCTTCTTTATGTCTCAGTAATACTTCATTGTACACATATGTATATACCACTTTTTCTTTATCTATATGCTTCATTTGTTTTAGAAGTATTTTTTTAAACCACTGTTTGCTCCTTGTAACAAAGTCAATCCTCAGTGAGAAAAGCAATGTTTTAAACTTAAAATTACTTAAAGCAACAAATCCCGTAAGAACTTTGTGGTGACATTTTATGATGCCGTCCAGCTCAACTACAGTTTTTTCAAATATCCTCTCCTTCCCCCAAATACTGTATTTACAAAGTTAGTTAATAAACACTGAATGACAGGGGCGCCTGGGTGGCGCAGTCGGTTAAGCGTCCGACTTCAGCCAGGTCACGATCTCGCGGTCCGTGAGTTCGAGCCCCGCGTCAGGCTCTGGGCTGATGGCTCAGAGCCTGGAGCCTGTTTCCGATTCTGTGTCTCCCTCTCTCTCTGCCCCTCCCCTGTTCATGTTCTGTCTCTCTCTGTCCCAAAAATAAATAAACGTTGAAAAAAAAAATTTTTTTTTAAATAAATAAATAAATAAACACTGAATGACAGCAATTTAGTAGGTGACCTATAGCTGACCATACAGGATAGTGAGCTTCTTAGAGATGAGACAACAGAGAGGAAAGTCTACACAGCATATCATCAAATATGGCCACGTTACCAGCATGAAAGGCTGTCATTTTATATAGGGGGAAAGCATAGGAAAAATGAAAAGTACCTTATCATACTTTTTAAACAGGCTATAATGTGTTTTCTAACTGATTTTGGAGACAAAGAGGCAACATTCTTCCACTTACTCACTAACTCTGTGCTCGGTACTGAAGACACATGTATTTATTCACACAGCCAAAAACTTAAATTCCAGGGGCGCCTGGATGGCTCCGTCAGTTGAGGGTACAACTCTTGATTTCAGCTCAGGTCATGATCCCAGGGTTGTGGGATCAAGCCCCAAGTCAGGCTCTGTGCTGAGCGTGAGCCTGCTTAAGAGTCTCTCTCACTCCCTCCTTCTGCCCTCTCCCCGACCACCCATACTCTCTCTCAAAAAAAAAGAGTGTCCAAAAACTTCAATTCCACATAGAACATGATAAAATGAAAAAGGTGCAAACTCAGAAGACATTGGCATAAACCTCGGTCAGAACTGTTAGCAAGGGAGGAGAAAAATGTACGATGATCAGGTTGTGTAACAACTGGAAGGGCCAGGTGAGGTGACCTGCAGTAAATGACCAGCGGACAACATTAAACGACCGGATTTTGTGAATGAGGAGCCTTTTTCCCCCCAATCTAAATAAACAACATGCTTTTTTATTTAAAAAAAAAAAAAATTTTTTTTTTAACGTTCTATTTATTTTTGAGACAGAGAGAGACAGAGCATGAACGGGGGAGGGGCAGAGAGAGGGGGAGACACAGAATGGAAGCAGGCTCCAGGCTCCGAGCCATCAGCCCAGAGCCCGACGCGGGGCTCGAACTCACGGACCGCGAGATCGTGACCTGAGCTGAAGTCGGACGCCCAACCAACTGAGCCACCCAGGCGCCCCACAACATGCTTTTTTAAAGGATCGTTGTTGAACAGAAGTCCCCCCTTCATGGCTCACCAGTGACGTGTTGGTAACGAGTACGTCCCAGCATAGAATGCATGGCATGTCCCATTTCATGGAAAAGATTTTCCATCATTCCAGGAGTTAATAAAGTTGGTAAATTCCTTGAGGGATGGGGAAGATTCAGCATAAGAACTACGACTGGGAGCTGGTAGTCTCCGTCTTCCTTTAATCTGCCTCCACGGATTGTAAAATGGCAGTCCTTAATGAGATAGAAAACATAATTAGACGAGAAAGTATTAGGTAATCTGAATATAAAATCACACCAAGGTGTGTGAGTTCCAATCTTAACTTAATTCTGTTCTCTTTAGTTAGACACTTTTCCGAATGCTTCTTATTTTGCTAAAATTTTAAGTTTTCTAAAACACCAGTAATACCTTGAGCTTGTGTTGATTACTTCATTCATTCGCTCCAAACAGATCTATCGAGGCGACGCTATACCAGATGTTGGAAACACAGTCATCAGAGTTTAGATCCACACCCTCAACTGTCCACGGGCAGGTGGGAAGGGACGGACATTGAGCTACTATTTGGGGTGGGTGGTGCCATTAATGTTTACTGAGCTCCTTCCACGCGCGTCAGGCGGTGAACTAGGAGACACTTCTCACACCTGTTGTCTGTGTCACTCAGAAGTGATAACTCTAAACCGTAACTGTCACAAAGCAAGGAATTTGGAGTAACTTCCTCCAACGGGCTGAGAGTCACAGGCACTGTATCACTTATTCTTCACAATAACCCCATGAGGCAGGCATCTCATTTTTCAGAGGAGGAAAAGGAAAGCGAAGTCACGTGCCCAAGGACACACAGCCAGGACTGCTGGGATCTGAATCTGTGTCACCTGGACTCTGGCCCCACCTTTGACACCTACATCAGATTTGCCTCCGTGAGCTTCTCTCCCCCCTGTCAAATCCCAGAGCAGCCCCCCCCCC